TTCTTTTTCGGATGCGGGATAAATTGTTGACATGCAATATGAGCTTCATATGCATCAACCGTCTTGATCAATCTACGTATGCACATTTGACTAGCGTTGTTTTGTACAATTGATGCGTTGAATTTGATATGCATCAACGATTATGATGGTCACGATTAGCCTACACTTGCACTCATGAACTATTCTTAACCTTTGACAATTTGACGTGTTATGAGTCTCATATGCATCAATGGTCACAATCAACATGAGCACACGTGCCCAAATTCTAGCACTGCTCTGATGAGGCAAAACCTCTTCCTACCTTCCTCATCCGTTCATAATGACTAGTGATATTTACTCTTTCTATACGTATTGTACCTTATATCAATATACTTACAACAATGTCTTTTCGCGATAGCAATGCTGAAGTGGATTTGACATCATTGCAACAAAAAGATTATTTACCTTTCTTCTGGCATCTTATATTCTTAATCCATGTAAGTTCTAGCAGCAGACAGAAAAGTATAGCCTTGAATTGTAAATTGTCAAGAGACCACAAAAGAAAGGAATTTCCCACTAATCCAAATGATATATTTTTAAAATAAATAAAGTTCGTAAACGAAAATAGAAAAGTAAACTAATCCAAATGATATTATTTTGTGCACAAAAATTGTATATATGTGGACCGAAAGGAAAAGAAAAATAAAATGGGTTCCACACATGCAGTCCCGACACCTAAAAAACTCCCAATACTGGTTCTGGTTCTGGATGTATGTTTCTGAAAACAATTCAAGCTCATGAGCCAATTCAGAAATTACCTGTAATTCGTCCGACATGAATCTCTCAGCCACGTTAATATATATATATATATATATATATATATATATATATATATATATAGGAGTAGAAGACATTTGGATAGAAACCGCGGGTGTTTTTGGAAAGAATGAGAATTTAAGTTTAAAGATGGTATGTAGATAGAAAAGCGAGTTACTCGGGTTAAATTTATAATTGTTGATTGATATTAACTGCGTACATGGAGTACGTACTGTTATTTTCTTATGAAGGCATGATTTCTTGTTCATGAGTATATGATGAAAAAGAGCCAAAGTGCAAAACATTACGTCAACAATGATGAGACATAAAAGGCATTGAGAAAAGAAGTTAGAACTTGAAAGCAATTTACCAAAGGATAAGATTTCTGGAAGCATTAAGGAATGAAAGAATAAATGAACGAGAAGTAGACGCATATCTAAAGCAAATAAGAATATATCCTCAATTATATTAAGAAGGGATACTTTGGATGCGGTACCTAATCCTTAACATTCTTTGACTAAAACCTTAATGGTATTCAAAGTTTGACCAAAGTCCATTGACTTTGTACACCTCATTATATTACAATTAATATTTATATTTTTATAGTTTTGACATTAATTGTTTGATATTTTATGAGATTTATAATCCTATAAATTTAAAATTCCTCATTATAATACTATTAGAAACAGTTACAATACAAAAAATTCAAACATTTTGATTGAATAAATGGATAAAAACTATGTAAAAATAAGAAATAAGAAATGGCAAAAGAATGTATCCATAGGGTTAAAAAATTGGTACATTTTACAAAAAATTGGTACATTTCACATATAACAAAGTGGTACATTAATAAAGAAGAATGGGTACATTATAAATAAATTAGGGTACAGATAAAATATTAAAAAATTATGAGTACAAATGAATTTTTAAAAAATATAGGCGCTAAAAGAAATTAATACATGGGTACAAAATAAAACTAAAAAGAAAATACTACAAATTTAAAAAAATGTTGCAAATTAAAAGTGGGTACAAACTCAACATATAAATATATGATACAAAGTTTAGGCATAAAACATAAATATACCATATGTAATTTTTCTATCATGGATTAAATATACAATGTCACGTGACGGTATACACATGGGTACAAACTGTCACATCCCGGCCCGGGGTGGACCACTTCCCGGGCCCGCTCCACCACCGTAGCACGATATTGTCCGCTTTGGGCCCCGACCATGCCTTCACGGTTTTGTTTCTGGGAACTCACGAGCAACTTCTCAGTGGGTCACCCATCCTGGGAGTGACCTAGCCCCCTTCTCGCTTAACTTTGGAGTTCCTACGTAACCCGAAGCTAGTGAGCTCCCAAAAAGCCTCGTGCTAGGTAGGGATGGGAATATACATTTAAGGATCGCTCCCTTGGACGATGTGGGATGTTACAATCCATCCCCCTTAGGGGCCCGACGTCCTTGTCGGCACACTTCCGGGCATGGATTGGCTCTGATACCAATTGTCACATCCCGGCCCAGGGTGGATCACTTCTCGGGCCCGCTCCACCACCGTAGCACGATATTGTCCGCTTTGGGCCCCGACCATGCCCTCACGGTTTTGTTTCTAGGAACTCACGAGCAACTTCCCAGTGAATCACCCATCCTGAGAGTGCTCTAGCCCCCTTCTCGCTTAACTTCGGAGTTCCTACGGAACCCGAAGCCAATGAGCTCCCAAAATGCCTCGTGCTAGGTAGGGATGAGAATATACATTTAAGGATCGCTCCCCTGGGCGATGTGGGATGTTACACAAACACCAATAAAACTTTAAAAAATATGGGCACAAAAAGAAACTAATATATGGGTACAAATTAAAAATGAAAAGAAAATTGGTACAAATTAAAAATAGGTACAAACTAAAAATAAAAATATATGATAAAAATTTTAGCCATAAATATAAATATACTAATTTTAACATTTTTAACACTAAAGGAATATATTTAAAAATAAAAATATTTTATTATTCAAATAATTAATGATGTTATTAATACCCAAGGACCTTGATCAAAAATTGAAAATGAATAGGATTTTAATCAATGGAGTAGCAAAAAGAAGGATGTGAACCTAATTTATCCTATTAAGAATCTAGACGAGAAGGTACACCCAAGGAGAAGAAGTGGGCATATAATGACCAGGGCCGGCGCTAAGGGGGTGCAAGTGGTGCTACCGCACAGGCCCCCAAATCGGAAGGGCCCCCGATTTTTCAATTTTGCATGCATTTACTTATATATAGTAGTATGTGTAAAATATTACAAACTTGAGTCTTAGTGCAAGTGGAATTATTGCTTCTTTACATCGGCTTAGGGGATGGGTTCGAAACTCATCTCTATCATTTTTTCAGTTTATATTTTTATTAAATGCATAAGCTTCCACAAAATAATATAAAAATTCCACATAATAACATACAAATTCGAACCCTAACCCTCTAAATATTAAGGAAAAACAATACGCCGCATTTCCACTTGTGGATTTGTTAAATTTGTTTGTGCTATTAGAATTTATAGAAGCTTAATTGAAAACTAAAGGAATCAAGGAGGAATTAAATTCGAAACGTAAGATACTTGAACGCGCCATGGAAAGAAGGAAGGAACTAGGCGTGTCTAAAGCAAAGGATCAACAAGGAAGAACTAAATTCAAAATGTAAAAAATAAAAAATTAGTAACATAAAAAATAAATTTCCCACCACTTATATAATAACACGTGATATATCACTTGTGTTACGAGCGCAAGGAAAAATTTCTCCTAGATTTGAGTTTCATTGGTGGTTTGAGCCCGGGTCATCGCTATTTCAATTTTATTTTTCATTTCTATTTGTTTCATGTCTCTCTTAACTTATTGTACCTTAATTTTTTTTTATCAATATATTCACAACGATGCATTTTTATGATATAAATGTCGAAGTGGAATTGACATTGTTGTTTGATTAAAAAAAATTTATTTACCTTATTCTGGCATCTTGTACTCTTAATCCATGTAAATTTTACTAGTAGATAGAGAAATATTGCCTTGAATTGTCAAGATGCCACAAAAGAAAGTATTTCCCACTAATCCAAATGATGTACCTTTAAATAAATAAAGTTCGTAAATGAAAATAAAAAGCATGATTTCTTGTTTAAGGTTATTTGATGAAAAGGAGCCAAAGTGCAAAGCATTACGTGACATCAACGAGACATAAGGGCCAATATATACAATAAGGTATTGAGAAAAGAAGTTAGAATTTGAAAGCAATTTAACAAAAAATAAAATTTCTGAAAGTATTAAAGAAGAAAAGAACAAGTGAATGAGAAATTAGACGCATATCTAAACCAAAGAAGAATATATCAATTGTATTAAGAATCAAATATATCCTAGTGTCACGGGATGACTCTTTAAGCCTTCCGCCCGTGCGGCACTTAGACTTGAATACCTCGATGAACAAGCTAAGTAAGCCTTCGAAGCCTCGCTTCCCCGGATCGAATCACAAAGAAAGCTAAGATAGCTTGGAGAATGCTAAAATCACTTAGAAGATGGGAGAAAGGAAGCTTTGTATTGAAACTTAAGAGAGCTTTACAATTGCTTACAACTCTTGGATGGTTTGGCCAAATGGCCTTACCTCCTATTTATAGGCCTAAGTCACCTCCTCAATGGAGGGTTCTAGAATCCCCTACTTACATCCAAAAATATCTAGCATAGTTCTAGATACAACTTGCCTAATCTAGATTATTCTAGGTGAGGCTTAAATATGTACACTTGTGTGGAATGTTCCGGAATGCCCTAGATTATCTTGAATGCTCCGCCACGTTCTTGATTTCTCCGGGACGTTCCAGAAGCTTCCATGAAGACAGGGCTTCATGGGCTTAGATATATGATGTCTTGGGCATTTTCTTTGTTTTTAACATGCGGCCCGTGACACTAGGAAGCACTACCAAACAAATATTTCCTTGCAAGCACCACGGTAGGAAGGAAATATAAGTGTCTAAAGCAAAGGATCGAATGTATCCTTCAATTGAATTCACAACGTACGTAAGATAGTTAGCGCACTATGGAAGGAAGGAACTCGTGGTGTCTGAAGGAAAGGATCGAATATATCCTTCAATTATTGAATACACCACTTTTTCACGTTATAAAAAGTTAAACCTACTGACATCTCTTGTCTATCATATCATCCTCCATTGTACTTGCATTGTATCCAAGAGAGAAATTAAACACTGTGATTAGCTGAGTTGCAGGAAATTGAAGGAATGGCGGCTGAAGCTGTGCTTACTTTTGCTACCGAGGGAATACTGAAGAAGGTGCTTTCACTTGCTGCTCAACCATTCAGTCTTGCATGGGGTTTCAAAGCTGAGCTCGGAAAGCTTCAAGAGTCATTCACTAACATTGAACTTTTGTTGAATGATGTTGCCGACAAACCACAAGGTAGTATATATTTTTGAATTGTCTTATAATCTCGCACACACATGCTACAATTACAAGGTATTTAACTTATTTTCATTCTCTAACAGGTCGGCCAATAGAGGCATGGGTGAAGAAACTCAAAGACGTAGCTCATGATGCAGAGGATGTCTTCGATGAACTCGAGTACGAAGGTTATCGGCGTAAAGTCGAAATCCAAAACCATATGAAGAAAAAGGTTCTTAACTTCTTTTCACTCTCCAATCCACTTGCATTTCGTCTTCAAATGGCCCATAAAATTCAGAAGATCAATGCATCCTTGGTGGATCTCGAGAGGAAAGCATCTCCTCTTGGATTAGCTTCCAAGAATAAAGTTGCAACCACTCAGGGGATTAGATGTGACAGACAAACCAACGCATTCTTTGGCAAAGACGAAATAACTGTTGGAAGGAAAGATGATGTGTCAAAAATAGTCACAACCTTGACCGACTCCAAATACAATCAAGAAAATCTTGCGGTTATGGCCATCGTGGGAATGGGAGGCCTCGGAAAAACAACATTGGCCAAGTCAGTTTACAATGAGGATTCGATAGACAAGTTTTTTGAAAAAAAAATTTGGATTTGTGTATCCGACACTTTTGACGTTAATTCCATCCTACATCAAATGTCTGAACAACTTAATCGGGAAAAAGCCCCTTCTAAAGATAACCAGAATACTCTGCTTTTGTCCCTCAATGAAGAGTTGAAAGATAAAAAATACTTGCTCGTACTTGATGACGTTTGGAACGAAGATTCCAAACTATGGGAGAGTTTCATGGAATGTTTGTCAAAGCTCAGTTCTGCTAAAGGATCCAAAATCATTGTCACCACTCGCAAAGAGAAAGTCGCATCAATCTCAGAAAAGATACTTCCACGACATGAATTGGGAAAACTTTCCGGAGATGAATGTTGGTCCATCATGAGAAATAGAGCTTTCCCAACTAGCAGTGATCCTAAGTTCGATACAATTGGAAGGGAGATTGCTGAAAAGTGCCGTGGTGTTCCATTGGTGGCAAAGGTGCGTACTATTATTATGTATCATATTCATCACATGGAATTTGCACATTAAAAACATATTTATTTGTTTACATGGAATTTGCACATTTTTTATATTTATTTGTTTGCATGTTTTCATTTATAAACTAAGGATTTTAGACATTAGGGCTTAAATAAGATGATTTTTAGATTATAGTCTGAATAGTTTTGTAATTCTGAGATCCTTCTTTTAAAACACGTTGACACGTCATCTACAATGATATCCATAAGTTTTGCTATTATTTACAAGCTTGCCATTTTTTCTTACCTATTATATGTAATGCTAGATAATTCTAACACGGCAATTTTAATTATCACGTTAATGCTTAAGTCAATTCGATCTCAAATAGAAAAGAAATTCCTATAATCAATTAACGCCATATTTAGGTGCAACTATTTTGCTGAGTTAATTAGTCATTATTTTCATTTGTATGACAACGTTTTGTATTGTATTTATAGTTGCTTAGGCACTTTAACTTAGGTCCCTTTGTATCAAACCAAAAAAGGTACAATATTTTAGGTCCCTTGATTTAGGTGCAAATATTTTGTTCAGTACATCATAGGTTTATGATTGAAAGATATATGGTTACATGCGACCTCGTCATATAATAAAATTTAAAAAAATGATTAATTTGAAAATGTATGGAAGGCATATATGGTTGGTCCTCAAATATGTTTAGTTCAATTCAAACGAGGTAAGAAAATAAGCCATAAATGGCTCCTAAAAAATGTACAACACAAGACACATATCCCTTAATTACACAAGGGTATTATAGTAAAAAAAAGTTAATCTAAAAGGAAAAAAATAATAAATATGATGTGGAATATAAATGTTGACTTGAACACGAAGTCAAATGACTATTTCAATATATAATCCTACACCACACATTTATCTAAAAGTGAAATTATTTAAGGATTAAAGTTAAAATTTCTATTTATAAATTGGGACGGTATTTGCATCCACCTCGTTGGGTGCACCACCTTATAAACAAGGACAAGTTCTTGTGAAAAACGTATTTTAACTGTATAAACTTTAGAATCAAAACCATTCATGTTTGTAATCATCATTTGAATATATATCATCATTACAAAAGTGGTTATTGAGAGATAGGTCATTGCAGCTTTTACTTTCTATACAAAAACTCATCCAGTGTTAAACATTCAAATAAAACCTAAATTTGAAAATCTGCCGTATATGCAAATAAATAACTGGTTATTATAAATATTTGCAACATATGCCACAAAGATGTTATTACTCACCCTAATTTTTCAATAAATGTTATTCCTCACACTAAATTGTGTCTTCCACATATACCAAAAAATAATATTTCTATAAATAATATATAGGTAGATTAATTTATATAAAAATAATATATATAGCTATATTAATCTATCTTGTTTAAATTTCAAGGGATCGGTAAATTAGTTGTATTGCAATATATATAGCTATAATGTGCTAGATCAAAAATAATAATATAAAATTTTGCGTACATTATATAGCTATAATGAGATAAGTAAATTATTTTTACTATTAATATTTTTATTCTATGTAGGTACACTAACATATAGATACATTAAATCCTATGAAAAAGGAAAATAGATACATTATTTTGTGTGTGTTTCAAACCAAAAACAACATAATATATCTATTTATATTTTAGCTAGGTAAAATAGAATGCTAATAGGTAAATTGCTTTTACCGTAAAAACAATTTTGAACCCTAAACCAAAATAGTGGTGGTCGTTGATAAAAAGAAATGTAATTAGAGGTATTTTAGGCATTCAAAAAAACAAACAAAATGTGTGAAGTCAAATTAATTAATGAATTTACTTATGTACAACCTGTTTTCTACATTATTTTAGGACGCATTTGAACTCACTAATCCAATTAACAGGTTTTGGGAGGCATTTTGCACACTAAAAAAAGTATCAGAGAATGGCCGTCATTTAAAAACAATACAATATGGGACAACCTATCAAAAGAAGAAGATATAATTATGCCAGTCTTGAGATTGAGTTTTGACAATTTAGAATCACCATCATTGAAGCAATGTTTTGCATATTGCTCAATATTCGAGAAAGACTTTGAAATTCAAAGAGAGAACTTGATTCAACTTTGGATGGCTCAAGGACTACTCCGAGCTTCACATGACGAAAGTAAAGATATGGAGGACACAGGCAATGAGTATTTTGATATTCTATTGCATAGCTCTTTGTTTCAAGATGCTACGATTAGTGACAATGGCACTGTTAGCAAATGCAAGATGCATGATCTTGTGCACGATTTGGCAGAACTTGTGTCCAAATCTGAAAGCTTGAAGGGAGACTTATGTGGCAGAGATAATACACTTGAGATTCGACATGTTGCTCGGGTTTCTACTTCTACACTGGAAAATATTCCAGCAAGAAGTGCTAGGAAATTGCGGTCACTGTTTTCCGACAACGGTGAAGTTCCTACTAACATTCTTCCACAGTTCAAAGCTTTACGCGTCTTGAATTTATGGAATGCTAATATTGAAGAACTTCCAGTTTCAGTTGGTAGGCTGAAACACTTAAGGTATCTTGACATTTCTGAAACAGGATTCAAAGCACTCCCCAAATCTATAGGCAAGCTCTATAACCTTCAGACATTAAGAGCAGTGAATTGTGCCCTTGAAGAGTTTCCGAAAGAACTGCAAAACTTGATCAACCTGAGACATATTTATTTTGATGAGGATATCAAATTCCCAAAAGGGATACGTCGGTTGACTTGCCTTCGAACATTACCTTACTTTTCGGTGGGTAATGAGATTGGTCGTCGAATTGAAGAGTTGGCTAGCTTGAAACAATTGAAGGGTGAATTAATTGTTTCTAATTTGCAACTCGTAAAGAATGGAGAAGAAGCAAAGAAAGCAAAGTTAGAGGATAAGACGAAAATACGCCATTTAAGCTTCAATTGGACAGAAGATAGGTCAACAACAGACAACAACGAGGACGAAGATGTCCTAGAAGGCCTCCGACCACATCTTGAGTTGGAGAGCTTAAGTATTGCAAACTTCATGGGCAACAAGTTTCCACCTTGGATGATGAGTGGGTCATTACCGCTCAACAACTTGAAGAGGATTCAATTACTTGGATGTGACAAATGTGAAGGAGTCCCACCGCTCGGTCATCTACCCAGTCTTACGGAGCTTAAAATTAGAGGAATGGCTAACTTGAAATGTGTTGGAGATGAGTTCTATGGTTATGATCTTGTCCACAATCTAGCCACGACAAGTGAGGAGGTAATTACTTTATTTCCAGCGCTTAAAGTATTATATATTTCTGATTGTGGTGATCTAAATGAATGGAAGCAAGCACCAACAACGTCAAGGAAAAAAGTTGTGGTTTTTCCTTGTCTCGAGATGTTGACCGTCGAAAATTGTTCCAAATTGAGAAATGCTCCGAGTCATTTTCCATGTCTCCAAAAGTTGGAGATGTCTTCTTGTGATAGCAGAACGCCAATAGAAGAAATAAGCAGTGGATTAACAACTCTTACCTCTCTTGAAATAAGAGGTATTAAGGAGCTTACTTGTTTGCCGCGGGGGATTTTGAAGAAGAATAATAATCTCTATTCTTTGGTTATAAAGAAATGCGATGATTTAACGTGTATTACCCCAGATGTAGTCGGTTCTCGCGGTTCTCTTAAAAAATTAGTCATTTGGAATTGCGACAAGCTGAGGCATTTGCCAGATGGGCTAGACACGCTCCAGCTCCTTGAGGAACTGACTATTAAGGGATGTGATAGTCTAGAGTTGATTCCAATTGCACAGGGCATGGCATCTCTACGGGAATTAGAGATTGGAGGTTGTGGACGATTGTCACTCCTGCCGAGTGGGTTAAAGAACTGCACCTCTCTCCAGAAATTGAGTATAACTCACTGCGATGGATTATCAGGCCCATTGAGTTTATGGGCCTCTCTCGTGGAAGTGAGTTTAATGAATTGCGATGGATTATCAGGCCGATTGAGTGTGTGGGCCTCTCTCGTGGAATTGGATATGAGGTATTGCAATAATCTGACATCAATTGAAATGAAAGGCAACGGGTCCCTCACCGCCTCTCTTCAGAACTTGATAATCTGGAATTGCCATGAATTATCAAGCATACCTGCTCTTCCACAACAATGTCCCTCTCTTCAGTACTTGGAGATAATTGGATGCCCAAAGCTATCATGGGTTGGTGTCCAAAGTAGCAGAGTTGAGAAGGAGGAGAAGTGCATTAGTCTACAATCTACTTCAGATTTGCGCACCATGACCTCCCTTCAACAACTGTTTATTATAAATTGTGAAAGATTAGAAAGTTGGGTGAGCAGCCTGCAATTCCCACTCTCTCTTGACACGCTGTCCATAGTCAAAATCCCTAATTTACAGATTCTTCCAAGTTTAGACAGCCTCAATTCTCTCCGTGATTTGGGGATCGGTGGGTTCTGGGAGGAGCTCGATTCCTTCCCTGATTTTGAAGTTGGATCATTAATGCATCTTAGATCGTTAAGTTTGTCTGGTTGGCCTAAGCTCAAGTCTCTGCCTCAACAAATTCAACACCTCACTTCTCTAACAGGTTTGTTTGTATATGACTTTGAGGGAGTGGAGACTTTGCCAGAATGGTTGGGTAGCCTTACATCCCTTACATATCTGTGGATTTGGGGTTGCAAGAATCTGAAGAATTTACCAAGTGTCCAAGCTATGCAACGCCTCACCAAATTACAAACTCTAGGGATTCGTGGTTGTCATCCCCTTTTAGAGCAAAGATGCACCAAGAACTGCGGCACAGATTGGCCTAAGATTTCTCACATTCCAGATATCACAAGTAAGTTTTTAAATTATTGAAATCAAATATCCTAAGAGTTGTATATATTATATGTTAATCTATTTTCTTATTTTATTCCGTGTCTCCAGTAGTACTACACTCAAATTTAAACTAGTATAACATAATTTGTTTATCCTTCTCCCTCTTCTTTTAAATGATCAGTACGAGGTCCGAGACAATACTTGGATTGAAACTACGCAACTGGAACGATGTAGTGCAGTAGGTGCAAGCAGAGGCCAGGTACTGATGCACAAAATATTAATTCTCTCGATCTACCTTCCTTCTCAATGATGTACCTTTAAGTTACAGTCCTTATCAAGCTAGCAAGCCTCTTTTCGTGGTACCACGTGGGCATTCTGTTTTACATGTTATCTTTATTAGTTTCGGCAACATCAGTTCGGTATATGCTTACTTTATTTAGTTCATTTGTATAAGTGCTGAACCGCAAGCTTGAATATCCATCATAGTATTGAATCTTGTTTAATCACACACTGCCCTCGCCCAAGTAGTGTTAGATGAGTAATGCCAAGATTTGTAGTCATGTAAAACCATGTTCATATAATATATAGAATTACTGCAATTCCTTTGTTATTATCCTTATGAAGATTTTGGGCTGATATAATTTATGGTTACTTGTGATTTATGAACAGTGATTTGAATTTGGTTGATTTCTTTATCTCTATTTCACATCCCTTAAGTAACATGATGAAATGTCAAATGCCCGCATTTTTGCAGAAATTAGGTAAAAGAATCTTCAGTTGCTATGCTAGATGATATTTCCAAGCATTGTACTATGACAAGTTTAAATCCGCGCCCAAGTAGTGTTAGATGAGTAATGCCAAGATTTGGAAATCGGTGGGTTCTGGGAGGAGCTCGATTCCTTCCCTGATTTTCAAGTTGGATCATTAATGCATCTTACAAGGTTATACTTGTATGGTTGGCCTAAGCTCAAGTCTCTGCCTCAACAAATTCAAGGCCTCACTTCTCTAACACATTTGTTTGTATATCACTTTGAGGGAGTGGAGACTTTGCCAAAATGGTTGGGTAGCCTTACATCCCTTACACAACTGTGGATTTGGGGTTGCAAGAATCTGAAGAATTTACCAAGTGTCCAAGCTATGCAACGCCTCACCAAATTACAAACTCTCCGTATAATTATATGTCACCCCCTTCTAAAGGAAAGATGCAAGAGGGACAGCGGCACAGATTGGCCTAAGATTTCTCACATTCCACGTATCTTAAGTAAGTTTTTAAAATTATTGAAATCAAATCACAGAGCTGACATTATATGTTTATATCATTTTTCTTCTTTTATTCTGTGTCTCCAGTAGTACTACACTCAAATATAAACTAGTATAACATAATTTGTTTATCCTTCTCCCTCTTCTTTTAAATCAGTTCGGGGCAGATACTTGTGAGACAACAGTTGGATTGAAGCTATGCAACGCCTCACTGAATTACAAACTCTGTGTATTGAGGGATGTCATCCCCTTCTCAATCAAAGATGCAGGAGGGACAGCGGCACAGATTGGCCTAAGATTTCTCACATTCCAGATATCACAAGTAAGTTTTTTAAATTATTGAAATCAAATTACAGAGCTGATGTTACGTGTTTATCTCTTTTCTTCATTTATTTCGTGTCTCCACTAGTACTACACTCAAATTTAAACTAGTATAACATAATTTGTTTATCCTTCTCCCTTTTCTTTTAAATGATCAGTTGAGGTCTGAGACAATACTTGGATTGAAACTACGCAACTGGAACGATGTAGTGCAGTAGGTGCAAACAGAATCCAGGTACTGATGCATAAGATATTGTTTTTTTTTTTTTTTCCAGAAATGTGTTGTTTGTTGTTTAAGATATTGTTTCATCCTTTCATCCATTGCATGCTAATGACTTTTTATCCTGATCACAATAGTAGTGGTGGATTTACCACATTTGTTTCTTTGATCTCTTACAGTTTGCGTATTTCATTGATTCCTGCACAATGAGGAAATTTGTCTATAACTCTATATTATCTCAAGACTTGTTTTCAGGATAATGATGTTGATATAATAAATAGAACTGCTGTAATTGCTTTCTTATGAAGATTTTGGACTGATAGTTTTGGGGCTACTTGAAATATCTGAATTGTATGCAGAGTGATTTGAATACTATTGATTTTGTGTCTGTAGTTGATATTGCTAGAGTAACTTGATGAATCTGATGAATTTACCAAGTGTCCAAGCTATGCAACGCCTCACCAAATTACAAAAACCATGGATTTCTGGATGTCATCCCCTTTTAGAGGAAAGATGCACCAGGTACATCGGCACAGATTGGCCTAAGATTTCTCACATTCCAGATATCACAAGTAAGTTTTTTAAATTATTGAAATCAAATTACAGAGGTGACGTTATATATTTATCTCTTTTGTTCTTTTATTCCGTGTCTCCACTGGTGCTACACTCAAATTTAAACTAGTATAACATAATTTGTTTATCCTTCTCCCTTTTCTTTTAAATCAGTTGGGGAAGGAGACTTCTTCTGAGACAACAGTTGGATTGAAGCTATGCAAGATTTCTCACATTCCAGATATCAGAAGTAAGTTTTTAAATTATTGAAATCAAATTACAGAGGTGATGTCATATGTTTATCCCTTTTCTTCTTTTATTCCATGTCTCCACTAGTACTACACTCAAATTTAAATTAATATAACATAATTTGTTTATCCTTCTCCCTCTTCTTTTAAATCAGTTTGGGAATGAGTCTTCTAAGACAACTAGTATAAGCATACCTGTTCTTCCACAACAATGTCCATCTCTTCAGGAATTGTGGATAAGAGGATGCCCAAAGCTATCATCGTTTGGTGTCAAAAGTAGCAGAGTTGGGAAGGAGGAGTTAGTCTACAATCTACTTCAGATTTGCGCATCATGACCTCCCTTCGACTTATGTGGATTGAAAGATGTGAAAGATTAGAAAGTTGGGTGAGCAGCCTGCAATTCCCACTCTCTCTTGAGACGCTGGCAATAGTCAGTATCCTTAATTTAAAGATTCTTCCAAGTTTAGACGGCCTTAATTCTCTCCGTCATTTGGATATCGGTGGATTTTGGGAGGAGCTCGATTCCTTTCCTGATTTTCAAGTTGCATCATTAATGAATCTTACAAGTTTAGTGTTGTGGGGTTGGCCTAAGCTCAAGTCTCTGCCTCAACAAATTCAACACCTCACTTCTCTAACACATTTGGAGATATGTTCATTTGACGGAGTGGAGACTTTGCCAGAATGGTTGGGTAGCCTTACATTCCTTACAGAGCTGACGATTTGGTCTTGCGAGAATCTGAGGAATTTACCAAGATTCCAAGCTATGCAACGCCTCACCAAATTACAAACTCTGTATATTTCTGGATGCCATCCTCTTCTAAAGCAAAGATGCATGAGGAACAGCGGCACAGATTGGCCTAAGATTTCTCACATTCCAGATATCACAAGTAAGTTTTTTAAATTATTGAAATCAAGTAACAGAGCTGACGTTATATGTTTATATCCTTTGTTCTTTTCTTCCGTGTCTCCACTAGTACTACACTGAAATTTAAACTAGTATAACGTAATTTGTTTATCCTTCTCCCTTTTCTTTTAAATGATCAGTTGTGGTCTGATCAAATTACAATTCCTAGAGATTTGGATTTGTCATCCCCTTTTAGAAGAAAGATGCAGCAGGGACAACGACACAGATTGGCCTAAGATTTCTCACATTCCAAAAATCGACAGTAAGTTTTTAAATTATTGAAATCAAATAACAAAGCTGACGTTATATGTTTATCTCTTTGCTTCTTTTATTCCATGTCTCCACTAGTACTACACTCAAATTTAAACTAGTATAACATAATTTGTTTGTCCTTCTCCCTCTTCTTTTAAATCAGTTTGGGGCTGAGACTTCTGAGACAACAGTTGGATTGAAGCTATGCAATGCCTTGCGATACTACAACAAATGTGTATTGGGAAAATCAAATTTCATGATGTGCAAGGCCACAGTTCTCCGAGATTACTTGTATTCCAGTTTTATGTACAAACGACTCCAAATGGCTCAAACTTTTGCATTGAAATTAAGTCATGTAAGATTTTCAAACCCACATCTCCTCTTCTCTTCTACTTCTAATTGATCAATACATTCTACTGTTGACTTCTGACTTACTATATATGTTGTGTGTTTCCCAGTGCCATCTATATTTCTTTTGCTATGCTGTGGCGTTTTTCATGATGCTCAATAGCTATAAACTGACTCCAGGTACTGATGCACACAATATTAATTCTCTCGCTCTACCTTCATTTCTCAATAATATACCTCTTTTTATAGTCCTTGGGCATTCTCCTTTACATGTTATCTTTCTTAATGCCGGCAACATCAATCAATATTTTAACTTTCTTTAGTTCATCTGTATGAGTGGAGTGCTGAACCACTAGCTTGATCACCCATCATGGTATTGAATCTTGTTTAATCACACACTGCCAGCACCCAAGTAGTGTTAGATGAGTAATGCCAAGAATTGTCATCATGTAAAACCATGTTCATATAATATTTAGAACTACTGCAATTACTTTCTGTTTGTTATTGTTATCCTTATGAAGATTTTGGACTGATATTTTTATGGTTACTTGTGATTTATGAACAAGTGGTGCGATGGCAAGTGCCTTCGCCCATGAGCGGTAGGTCTCGGGTTCGAGACTTGGGAGCAGCCTCTCCATAAATGGGGGTAAGGCTAGCCGACATTCACCTCTCCCAGACCATGCGTAAAGCGGGAGCCTTGTGCACTGGGTACGACCGACTTGTGATTTATGAACAGTGTTCAAATCGTATAAACAGTGATTTGAATTTGGTTGATTTATTTATCTCTATTTCATATCCCTTGACTAACTTGATGAAATGTCAAATACCCTGTTATTGCAAAAATTAGGTAAAAGAATCTTCAATTACTCAAGATAATTTTCAAGCCTGCAATTCCCACTCTCGTTTGAGGCGCTGACAATAAGAGACATCCCGAATTTAGAGAGTCTTCCAAGTTTAGACAGCCTCCATTCTCTCCATCATTTGGAAATCGGTCGGTTCTGGGAGGAGCTCGATTCCTTCCCTGATTTTTAGCCTTGTATGGTTGGCCTAAGCTCAAGTCTCCGCCTCAACAAATTCAACACCTCACTTCTAACATTTTTGGTGATATATCAATTTGACAGAGTGGAGACATTGCCAGAATGGTTGGGTAACCTTACATACTTTACAGAGATGGACATTCAAGATTGCAAGAATCTGATGAATTTACCTAGTGTCCAAGCTATGCAACGCCGAGCCAACTTACATACTCTGACTATTTATGAATGTCATCCCCTTCTAAAGCAAAGATGCACCAGGGACAATGGCACAGATTGACCTAAGATTTCTCACATTCCACTTATCCTAAGTATGTTTTAAAATTATTGAAATCAAATTACAGAGCTCACGTTATAGGTTTATCTCTTTTGTTTTTTTATTCTGTGTCTCCACTATTACTACACAAAAATTCAAAGCACGTACTATAACAAAATTTGTTTATCCTTCTCCTTTTTAAGTCACACAGCAGTTGAATCGATGGTAGGCAGCACCTTACCAAATTTCATGGTGTGCAAGGCCACAGTTCTCCAAGATTACTTTTATTCCAGTTGTATGTACAACGACTCCACATGGCTCCAACTTCTGCATTGACGGAGTGGAGACTTTACCAGAATGGTTGGGTAGCCTTACATCCCTTAAGAGCTGTGGATTTGGGATTGCAAGAATCTGATGAATTTACCAAGTGTCCAAGCTATGCAACGCCTCACCAACTTACAATCTCCAAGGATTTATGGATGTCATCCCCTTTTAGAGGAAAGATGCAGCAGGGACAGCGGCACAGAGTGGCCTAAGATTTCTCACATTCCATATTTCAGAAGTAAGGTTTTTAAATTATTGAAATCAAATTTCTGAGCTGACGTTATATGTTTATCATTTTTCTTCTTTTATTCCGTGTCTCCACTAGTAGTACACTCAAATTTAAACTAGTATAACATAATTTGTTTATCCTTCTCTCTTTTCTTTTAAATGATCAGTTGTGGTCTGAGACAATACTTGGATTGAAACTACGCAACGGGAACGATGTAGTGCAGTAGGTGCAAGCAGAGTCCAGGTACTGAAGCACAAGATATGTTTTTTTTTTACAGAAATGTGGTGTTTGTTGTTTTAGATATTATTTCATCCTTTCATCCCTTACATGCTAATGACTTTTTATTCTGATCACAATGGCAGTGGTAGATTTACCACATTTGTTGCTTCCATCTCTTGCAGGTTGCTTATTCCATTGGTTCATGCACAATGAGGAAATTTGTTTATATTATCCCAAGACTTGTTTTCAGGTTAACGACGTTAATATAATATATAGAACTCTTGTAATTGCTTTCTTGTGAAGATTTTCGACTCATAGTTTTGGGGCAACTTGTAATATGCACAGTGATTTGAATTCTATTGATTTTGTGTCAGTAATTGATATCGCTCGAGTAACTTGATGAACTGTTGAGTACCTGTATTATTGCTGAAATTATCAAGAGAGATTATTATGAGAGTAGCCATATGAAATGTTTATTTTGCAGCAAGTTCACTGGACCTTGATATTACTCATGAAAGTCTTCGAGGGCTTGTTCATTTATGGAACTCGCTATGACTCAGCGGTGGCAGGGTATTCTGTTGAGGATATAAAATTCTATGGGATAGGAAACGAAAATGCTAGAGGAGAGGTATTCCTGTTGCCAAAATTGCAACTTAAACAGTATGCAAGCTTTTCTGCTGTGGTCATATCAGGCTATCTGTTTTACTAATACTATACAGAATTAGTTTGAAAGTTAAAACTCAATAGTGATTTCTTTCTTGCAGCTTTTCACTTGCTGTTGGCACCAAGTTGGGGCATGTAATTTCTCAAATGTCTCGCGAGGTTGCTGAGAAATATATGATGCTAACAAATTTGAGGGGACTTAATTGTTCATCCTTCAGCGGATTACCTTTGGTTCTACAGGCCCAGACTTGTTCTCTTTGTGATTTTATTATACTGTGTTATGTAATTCTTCTCAACTGGCATTTTCTTCATTAGCTTCAATTGACAATCGAGAATTCCAAATTCCGAGGTACCAGAGGACTTGAAGAGTTTCTCAGTTAATGGCGTGGGAGTACTTATTGTGAATCTAAGTGTTGAACCATGACTGGAATGTTTCTTCAAGATGTGAGAAAGATTGAAATTTGTTGTTTATATTTTTCTTTAAGTTGTTTTGGTGTTATCTTTGTACAGGGATATTGGGATTCCGATCAAAGCTCATAGGCGGATCAATATCATTCTTCAACTTCAATCATGTTTCCCTAAAGGTCCTGAGAGATACCCAGTAGTATTCCACTCAGAAGACTCGTATCGTTCCTGATGTGGGATTAGAATGTGCAACGCTGTCCGGGGAGTTTGGGAGTTAATTATGGTGGTCTTCTATCCACAGGTTGAGTCACAATGTTGCTTACTTTTTTGTGGACATGAACACTGCCAAAATACTCTTTACGTATCAGCCTACGGCATTGTTTCTTCCTGGGTCAGTTATCCACTGACTTTTTCTAAATTCATCTATTTGCATTAGGCGGCTTTCTCAATTGAGAATTCATTTTGATCCACTGTGTTGCTTACTCTTATGTATTCACCCCTTCTCTAGGTTGTGGCAATTCCCTAAAGCGGGTGGAAGCTTCCACGGGCTATCATGTGTACATAAGAGGAAAATGTCCAATCAGAGATATTGACAAGGTAAAATTATTCACAGTTTTGTTATTTATTAAGAAAAGAAACTTTCATTATTTTCATTTGACGGAGTGGAGACTGTGCCGGAATGGTTGGGTAGCCTTACATCCCTTAAATAGCTGAGGATTCTTTCTTGCAATAATCTGAAGAGCTTACCTAGTGTCCAAGCTATGCAACACCTCACCAACTTACAAACTCTCTATATTTCTGGATGTCATCCCCATCTAAAGGAATGATGCACCGAGGACAGCGGCACAGATTGGCCTAAGATTTCTCACATTCCAAATATCACTAGTGAGTTTTTAAATTCTTGAAATCATATTACAGAGCTCATGTTGTATGTTTTTCTTTTTTGTTCTTTTATTCTGTCTCCACTAGTACAACAACAACAACAACAACAACAACAAAGCCTTTTCCCACTAAGTGGGGTCGGCTATATGAATCCTAGAACGCCATTGCGCTCGGTTTTGTGTCATGTCCTCCGTTAGATCCAAGTACTCTAAGTCTTTTCTTAGAGTCTCTTCCAAAGTTTTCCTAGGTCTTCCTCTACCCCTTTGGCCCTGAACCTCTGTCCCGTAGTCACATCTTCGAACCGGAGCGTCAGTCGGCCTTCTTTGCACATGTCCAAATCATCGGAGCCGATTTTCTCTCATCTTTCCTACAATTTCGGCTACTCCTACTTTACCTCGGATATCCTCATTACCAATCTTATCCTTTCTCGTGTGCCCACACATCCCACGAAGCATCCTCATCTCCGCTACACCCATTTTGTGTACGTGTTGATGCTTCACCGCCCAACATTCTGTGCCATACAACATCGCTGGCCTTATTGCCGTCCTATAAAATTTTCCCTTGAGCTTCAGTGGCCTACGACGGTCACACAACACGCCGGATGCACTCTTACACTTCATCCATCCAGCTCGTATTCTATGGTTGAGATCTCCATCTAATTCTCCGTTCTCTTGCGAGATAGATCCTAGGTAGCGAAAACGGTCGCTTTTTGTGATCTTCGCTAGATTGCTCCGGTCATTAGTGTGGATAAGTATATAAATGGATAGAGATAGGAAAGCAAACACAAGATGTACGTGGTTCACCCAGATTGGCTACGTCCACGGAATAGAAGAGTTCTCATTAATTGTGAAGGGTTTACACAAGTACATAGGTTCAAGCTCTCATTTAGTGAGTACAAGTGAATGATTTAGTACAAATGACATTAGGAAATATTGTGGGAGAATGATCTCGTAATCACGAAACTTCTAAGTATCGGAGTGTGGTGTCGTCTTGACTTGCCTTATCTGTCTCATAGGTAGATGTGGCATCTTCTCTGGAAGTACTCTTCCTCCATCCAGGGGTGGTATCTTTAACTGGTGGAGATGCACAAGGTAATGTATCAATTTCACTTGAAGCTTACTTGTAGTTCTCAGGCTTGGTCAAGCGCGATACAAACCATGTAGTAGGAGTCCCCCAAGTCGCCGAGCTAGGGGGTCTGCTGAAAGAGGTGACAGACAAGGTAAGCAATCAGAGCTCCGACTGATTGTTCACCTTCTCCCCATCTTGCAGCAGCATGAAGGATAAAGAGAAGAAAAATGAGAAGAGATGATATGAGATACTTTTGCTTTTGAAGAAGTAACTTTCCACAGGCTTATTCTTGAACTGAGCTGGAGGGTTTTCTGGTTTCCTCCAGAGTATAAGGCCGACTGAAGAATTTGAGGGTCAAAACAAGTCCATCAAATCTAGAGTACGTTCCACCCTGCTGATATGGGATACTTTTGCTTTTGACAGAGTAATGGGTGTATCGGCACGTGTGCTGTTACGCTTGTCTCCACATGCTTCCTTGTATCCTTCGCACTTGCCCTATCTGTTCCTCAAGCAGATGCGGAATCTTCCCTGGAAACATAAGATGTTGAAGATGAGTACTCGAGAGCAATGCCAGGTAAGTAATCAGGTAAGGGGTTCCAGGCAGTCAGTTCCTGGCTGGAAGCTTGATTCCAAGTGCTGACTGATTGCTCTCTTTCTCCTTGTCTTGCAGGTAAAAACAAGGCCAAAGGAAAAGACAGGGAAAAAGCATGATATGGGATACTCTTGCTTTTAACCCTGATGATATGAGATATTCTTGCTCTAGTATAGCTTGTTTGCAGAGGTATTATCGGGGGGAAAGAAAGCTGAATATTTCGAAAGGCTTCGTTGGGAGTGCCCTCTCAGATATGATGAAGGGTTGAGCATTTTTGCAGGTCTGCCTGTCCGTTGGGGATGGAGGTCGACATATATAGGAGTCTTCCTAAAAACAAGTAGTAATGCTATTCCTTTACCCTGTTTGGTCATAGCACGGTAGTGGGAGCTGCCAGTTTCACATGTTTTAACTCTGTCAGAGCACTTTGAAAAAGTGGTCTGTGGTATCTGGCTCTCGAGATTCGGAGAACGATGCCTCTTCGATTTTTGAGAAAGCAATCATGTTGGGGGTCTGGCTCTCGAGATTCGTAGAGTAGTGTCTCTTCGATTTTTGAGGAAGTAATCATGTTGGGAGTCTGGCTCTCGAGATTCGGAGGGCGGTGCCTCTTCGATTTTGGAGCAAGCAATCCTGTTGGGAGTGTTGTCTCGAATGTGAGTAAAGGTTGGGCATGTTTGCTAGTCTACCTTGCCACGAAGCACAAAGGTTGACACACAGAGACTTTCCAATTATCCAGCAATGGTACTGTTCCTTTACCCTCTCTTCGCTTTTGAGAAAGTAGTCATGTTGGGAGTCTGGCTCTCGAGATTCGGAGGACGGTGCCTCTTCGATTTTGGAGCAAGCAATCTTGTTGGGAGTGTTTTCTCGAAATGTGAGTAAAGGTTGGGCATGTTTGCTAGTCTACCTTGCCACGAAGCACAGAGGTTGACACACAGGGACTTTCCAATTATCCAGCAGTGGTACTGTTCCTTTACCCTTGTGGGTAATAATATGGTAGCTAGACCTTCAAAATTTATGTGTCTAAACTTTGTTAGTGCTGTTTCTTTGCTATTCTTTTACCTTTCTTGGTCAGAGCGATGTAGTGGGAGCTGCAAGCTTCACGTGCTCAACTTTGGCAGAGAACTTTGGCAAAGTTATCTGTGGTACCCATGAGCTATTGTTGCGTGTGGGAAGTGGGTGATTGAACAGTAAGATTCATGTGCTTTCTACTTCACCAGAAGTCTTCGACAGAATGCCCATAATTTCTGCAAAGCTGAGTGTGCGTGTGACAGGTGCTGACAAAGCTAGAAAAGTAGGTGCCTCTTCGATTTCTGAGATCGGCCCTCGTGGTCTCTGAGCAGCCCAGCTTTTGAGAAAGCGAGCGCCTCTTCGATTGATTCGGAGAACGATGCCTCATCGATTTTTGAGAAAGCAATCATGCTGGGGGTCTGGCTCTCGAAGATTCGGGGAGCAGTGTCTCTTCGATTTTTGAGAAAGTAATCACGTTGGGAGTCTGGCTCTCGAGATTCGGAGGGCGGTGCCTCTTCGATTTTGGAGCAAGCAATCTTGTTGGGAGTGTTTTCTCGAATGTTAGTAAAGGTTGGGCATGTTTGCTAGTCTACCTTGCCACGAAGCACAGAGGTTGACACACAGGGACTTTCCAATTATCCAGCAATGGTACTGTTCCTTTACCCTCTCTTCGATTTTTAAGAAAGTAGTCATGTTGGGAGTCTGGCTCTCGAGATTCGGAGGACGGTGCCTCTTCGATTTTGGAGCAAGCAATCTTATTGGGAGTGTTTTTCTCGAATGTGAGTAAAGGTTGGGCATGTTTGCTAGTCTACCTTGCCACGAAGCACAGAGGTTGACACACAAGGACTTTCCAATTATCCAGCAGTGGTACTGTTCCTTTACCCTTGTGGGTAATAATATGGTAGCTAGACCTTCAAAATTTATGGGTCTAAACTTTGTTAGTGCTGTTTCTTTGCTATTCTTTTACCCTTCTTGGTCAGAGCGATGTAGTGGGAGCTGCAAGCTTCACGTGCTCAACTTTGGCAGAGAACTTTGGCAAAGTTATCTGTGGTACCCATGAGCTATTGTTGCGTGTGGGAAGTGGGTGATTGAACAGTAAGATTCATGTGTTTTCTACTTCCCCAGAAGTCTTCGACAGAATGCTCATAATTTCTGCAAAGCTGAGTGTGCGTGTGACGAGTGCTGACAAGGCTGGAAAAGTAGGTGCCTCTTCGATTTCTGAGATCGGCCCTCGTGGTCTCTGGGGAGCCCAGCTTTTGAGAAAGCGAGCGCCTCTTCGATTTCTGAGATCGGCCTTCGTGGTCTTTGAGCAGCCCAACTTTTGAGAAAGCAAACGCCTCTTCGATTTCTGAGATCAACCCTCGTGCTTTTGAGAAAGCAAACGCCTCTTCGATTTCTGAGCAGGCGCCTCTTCGATTTCTGAGCAGGCGCCTCTTCGATTTCTGAAGCTCCGTCGAGTGCAGATTTTTATAGAGGCTGACATTAAGTTCCAAAGCACACTTGAATCTCCACCAGTAGAAGCTTCATTCTTGCACTTCTAAGATCTTGATTTGTCCGACCTCTTCTCTCTTCAACACCTTTGAAAATGTCTGGCCCCTTCGACCGTTGTTTTGACTTGAACCTTGTTGAAGAGGCAGCCCCGCCTTCTCCAGACAACATATGGCGCCCATCCTTCGTCTCCCCTACTGGTCCTCTTACCGTTGGGGATTCCGTGATGAAGAATGATATGACCGCTGCGGTGGTGGCCAGGAACCTTCTCACTCCCAAAGATAACAGACTACTTTCCAAACGGTCTGATGAGTTAGCTGTTAAGGATTCGCTGGCTCTCAGTGTTCAGTGTGCAGGTTCTGTGTCTAATATGGCCCAACGCCTATTTGCTCGAACCCGCCAAGTTGAATCCTTGGCGGCTGAAGTGATGAGTCTCAAACAGGAGATTAGAGGGCTCAAGCATGAGAATAAACAGTTGCACCGACTCGCACCTGACTATGCTACAAACATGAAGAGGAAGCTTGACCAGATGAAGGAAACTGATGGTCAGGTTTTACTTGATCATCAGAGATTTGTGGGTTTGTTCCAAAGGCATTTATTGCCTTCGTCTTCTGGGGCTGTACCGCGTAATGAAGCTCCGAATGATCAACCTCTGATGCCTCCTCCTTCTAGGGTTCTGTCCAGTACTGAGACTCCAAATGATCCCCCTCCGGTGCCTTCTCTTTCTGGGGCTCTACCGACTGCTGAGACTTCTCCTAAGCAACCTTTGTGAAGGCTCCGTCTTGTGTGTTTATTTTGACTCATGTATATGTACATATTTGTAGCTGATCGGGGATATCAATAAATAAGCTTTCCTTCATTTCAACGTATTGTGTTAAATACACCAAAGCCTTCTTCGCTAAGTTCTTTGAATTTTCTTTTGTTGAAGCTTGTATGTTGAAGCTTTCTGAGTGGAGCATGTAGGTTGGGGTAGTGTTCCCTTAATTTCCCGAGTGAGGAAAACTTCTCGATTGGAGACTTGGAAAATCCAAGTCACTGAGTGGGATCGGCTATATGAATCTTAGAACGCCATTGTGCTCGATCCTGTGTCATGTCCTTCGTTAGATCCAAGTACTCTAAGTCTTTTCTTAGAGTCTCTTCCAAAGTTTTCCTAGGTCTTCCTCTACCCCTTCGGCCCTGAACCTCTGTCCCATAGTCGCATCTTCTAATCGGAGCGTCAGTAGGCCTTCTTTGCACATGTCCAAACCACCGTAACCGATTTTCTCTCTCATCTTTCCTTCAATTTCGGCTACTCCTACTTTACCCCGGATATCCTCATTCCTAATCTTATCCTTTCTCGTGTGCCCACACATCCAACGAAGCATCCTCATCTCCGCTACACCCATTTTTGTGTACGTGTTGATGTTTCACCGCCCAACATTTTTGTGCCATACAGCATCGCCGGCCTTATTGCCGTCCTATAAAATTTTCCCTTGAGCTTCAAGTGGCATACGGCGGTCACACAACACGCCGGATGCACTCTTCCACTTCATCCATCCAGCTTGTATTCTATGGTTGAGATCTCCATCTAATTATCCGTTCTTTTGCAAGATAGATCCTAGGTAACGAAAACGGTCGCTTTTTGGTATTTCTTGATCTCCGATCCTCACCCCTAACTCGTTTTGGCCTCCATTTGCACTGAACTTGCACTCCATATATTCTGTCTTTGATCGGCTTAGGCGAAGACCTTTAGATTCCAACACTTCTCTCCAAAGGTTAAGCTTTGCATTTACCCCTTCCTGAGTTTCATCTATCAACACTATATCGTCTGCGAAAAGCATACACCAAGGAATATCATCTTGAATATGTCCTGTTAACTCATCCATTACCAACGCAAAAAGGTAAGGACTTAAGGATGAGCCTTGATGTAATCCTACAGTTATGGGGGAAGCTTTCGGTTTGTCCTTCATGAGTTCTTACGGCAGTCTTTGCTCCTTCATACATATCCTTTATAGCTTGGATATATGCTACTCGTACTCCTTTCTTCTCTAAAATTCTCCAAAGAATGTCTCTTGGGACCCTATCATACGCTTTTTCCAAATCTATAAAGACCATGTGTAAATCCTTTTTCCCATCTCTATATCTTTCCATCAATCTTCGTAAGAGATAGATTGCCTCCATGGTTGAGCGCCCTGGCATGAACCCGAATTGGTTGTCCGAAACCCGTGTCTCTTGCCTCAATCTATGCTCAATGACTCTCTCCCAGAGCTTCATTGTATGACTCATTAGCTTAATACCCCTATAGTTCATGCAATTTTGTACGTCGCCCTTGTTCTTGTAGATAGGCACCAAAGTATGTACAGTTTGATATTCAGGGGATGGAACTTTAAGGGGAATGGCTACACAGTTCTCCAAGAGTACTTGTATTCCATATTTTATGTACAAACAAATCCAAACGGCTCGAACTTTTGCATTGAAATCAAGTCATGTAAGCTTTTCAAACCACACACCTGCTCCTCTTCTAATTGATCAATACAATGTACTGTTGACTTCTGACTTACTATATGTGTTGTGTGTTTCCCACTGGCATCTATATTTCTTTTGGCATGATGTGGCCGTTTTCAGGATAATCAATGAGTGGAAACTCTGTCCAAGTGCTGATGTACAAGGTATTAAATTTCCGATCATGGTATTCAAATCTTGTTATAAACTTGGAAGAGTAATGCCAAGACTTGTGATCATGTAAAACCATGTTCAGATAATATAAATATAGATTTACTGCAATTGCTTTCCGTCTGTTATTATTCTTACAAAGTTTTTCGGATGATATTTTTATGGTTACTTGTGATTTCTGAACAATTTTTTTTTTAATCTGATGAACAATGGTTTGAATACAGTTGATTATTGAATTGCTATTTCATATCCCCTTGAGTAACTTGATGAACTGTTAAATGCCTGCATTATTGCAGAAATTAGGTAAAGAATCATCAGTTGCAATGCTAAGTTAGGGATTTTATAATTTGGCAAATTTAAGAAATCGGTGGAAAGGTCTACAAACCCGAAATTGATAAAATTCGCCATTGGCAGGTTCGGGGAGGAGCTCAATTCCATTCCTGATGTTCAAGGTTGATCATTGCGGCATGAATTGTTACATTTTAAAGGGTGGCCAAAGCTCAAGTCTCTGCCTCATCAAATTCAACACTTTTCTTTAACTGGTTTATATATCAACTACTTGAGGGACTGGAGACTTTACCAGACTTGTTGGGTAACCTTACATCCCTTATAGTGCTGGGGATTAGGAATTACAAGAATTTGATGAATCTACCTTTTGCCAAAGCTATGCAATGCGTCACCGCTTTACTGTCGGAGTGAATTAAGCAACGTAAGTTTTTCAAACTCCACCTCCTTTCCTCTTCTAGTAGTTGAGTCAACTTGCTATATACGTTGTGTTTCCAATAGGCATATATAACTCTTTTAGCATCCTTTGGCATTTTTCATGACGCTCTTACTCAACTCAACTGGAACGATGTAGTGCAGTAGGTACAACAGAGTCCAAGTACTGTAGCACAAGATATGTTTTTCCAGATGTGGTTTTTGTTGTTTTAGATATTGTTTCATCCTTCTTTCAGCCATTGCATGCTACATTTCTCATTCTACCTTGTTCAGTAATTTACTTGCCTTACAGGCCTTTTCAAGCTAGCATGTAATTTCCGAATTGGTTCATAACGTTGTTGAGAAATACATTGAAATCGAACCGGATTTGGTTGTTCAGCCATAAGTCAATCACGATTAGTCACAGACCCAGACTAGTTCTGATTCTGATTCACATTGTTTTGTCCCAAAACTTTTTAAGTGGAATTTTGCCTCTGGCCAGATTGTTGTCTTAAAATTATCGGCTAATGATTTTTTATCCTGATCACAATGGAGTGGTAGATTTATCATATTTGTTGCTTCGATCTCTTGCAGTTTACTTATTTCATTGGTTTCTTATGAAGATTTTAGACCGATAGTTTTGGGGCTACTTGTAATTTCTGAATCATATGCACAGTGATCTGAATTCTGTTGATTTTGTTTGTAATTGATATCGCTCGAGTAACTCGATGAACTGTTGAGTGATATTATTATGAGAGTACCAATATGAAATGTTCATTTTGCAGCAAGCTCATTGGACCATGATATCACTCATGAGAGTCTTCGAGGGGGTTTTACTTTCATGGAACTCACCATGCTTCAACGGTGGCAGATTATGCTGTTGAAGATGTAAAGTTGCAACATATAAAGTAAGCGAGCTTTTCTGCTGCGGTCATATCAGGCTATCTGTTTTAATATGCAGAATTAGTTTGAAAATTAATACTCATGGTAATTTCTTTCCCGCAGCTTTTACTTGCTGTTGGTGACTTGGTCATGTACGATGCGAGGTGACTTAGTTGTTCATCCTTCAGCGGATTACCTTCGGCTCTACAGGCCCATACTTGTACTCTAATTCTTCTCAACTGGCATTTTCTTGTTTCTTCACCAAATTCTTTTCAAGTGGAATTCAAGATGGCATGTGGTCATTCTGGTGGATAGGATGTTAGATTTCTACCCAAGTATTCCGGGTTCGAAACTCTCCATTTCTGTAAATTATTGTAGTAGTTTCGAATTCCTCCCCGTCCCTAATAATCATCAATTTTCTTTCTTTTCAAATGCTTCTTTAAGAACGTTGGGTAAATTAAATTTTACCACCTTGGAGAAGAACATATGTCAGGAGGGTTCTCCTTCCAACAACTCAGAATCTTAGAGAAGAACTTTTCATCTTTAGTTTCATTTGTGTTCCATTCTAAATCCATTTCTTTACGTTCTTTTGTCTTTAACAAAAAAAATTAAAAATTGAATCCTAAAAACTAAAATAAATTCCTTAGCAAACGGGTTTTAGATTGATATTTTTATGAATTCAAAAAGATTATGCCAAAAGAAAGCAAATGATTCGAGTCTTCCGCAACAAATAATTTGATATTGCATGAGTATTTCTTCAGAATCCGATACATTTATTTTCTTTCTTGGATTGGTAATTACCATGTGGGAAGTTGATACGAGTAAAGAAAGCCATGTAGTTACGGCATTTTGGACTAAGGGCTGGTTTGGTATTGTTGTGCTTTGAAAAAAAACTGCTGTGAGAATAAGCGGCTGTGCTGTGAGAATAAGCGGCTGTGAAATAAATCAGCAGAGTGTTTGGTAAACTTTTTTGTAAAAGTGTTTTTGGAAAAAAAAAAACAATCTGATAGTAGGTTTTTTCATTAAAGGAGCATTGTAGCTCCGTGTGCTTTGAAAAAAAAGCCAATTTTCCAAAGCTGCAAATAGCAGCTTCAGCTTTTTCCTTTGATTTCAACTTATTCTCACAGCAGCTTCCAAAATAAGCCATTTTTTTTCAGTTTACCAAACACCTAAAACCCTCACAGCTTTTTTTCATGGGTGCTTTTTTTTTAAGCACCTCACTCCCAAACCACCCCTAAGCCAGGTAACAAAAAAAGGACGGGGTATTCATCAATTTACGTCCTGAACTTACAAGGATTGGCCAATTTCTCCCCTCAACTTTAATTTTAGCCAATTTTCCCCCTCAACTCTCATTATTAGTCAATTTTCATCATACTGTTAATTTTTTTAATTTTCTATCCATTCTTCCGTTAAGTAGGTCACATGTTATCGAGATGACTACCTTAAAAGAGCAAAAAAGTCATTTTCCCTACAACTTCTATCTTCTTCCTTTTCTTCGAACTCTCTTATTCTCACAACTTAGCCGCCAGCAGCCCACCGCAACCAAGCAGCCCATCCCTCAACACCCTATCTCTCTCTCTCTCTCTCTCTCTCTCCTGAGTCTTGAGCGAATAGCGTTTACTTTTGTAAGCCGTCGAAGATTTTGAGGTTTTAGATCTACACTCAGGTGTCGCTTGCGGCTTTGCAACTCCACAATCTTCGTTGTCTCTTTCTCCTCACTTGGCTGCGATCCGGCTCACTATTTGTTAGAATTCCTTTGTCCCACATCGGCCAGAAGGCTTGAGAACAAGTCATTTATATAGAATTACCTCACTCTAATTAAAACCGAGGCCTTTTGTATTAAAATCCTACACGTGACGGATTGAGCAGGTGCCCAAGTGGGGACAATATCGGTATTGTTGGAGTGGGCCCATGACCCGTCTACCTAAAATTTAAGATGGTATCAGAGCCAGGGGACGGGCCCGTACATCCATGTGATCAGGTGGGTCCCCTTTGACCCCGCGCGAATGGGTGAGCCCCTAGTTGGCTCCACGTAGGCCAAGAGATGCCACATGCATTGGCCCAGCGCGAACGGGTGAGCCCCGGCTTGGCTCCACGTGGTTGTCGATGTGTGGAACTCCACGTGTGACCCATAAAATAGGGTCTCACGTGCAGGGGAGTATTAGAATTCCTTTGTCCCACATCGGTTAGAAGGCTTAAGAACAAGCCATTTATATAGAATTACTCCATTCTAATTAACACCGAGGTCTTTTGTATTAAAACCCTACACCTGACGGATTGAGCAGGTGTCCAAGTGGGGACAGTATCGGTGTTGTTGCAGTGGGCCTATGACTTGTCTACCTGAAATTTAAGACTATTGGCCCCAATCCGTTTCCAACTTCTGTCTCCCTCCATTTTTTTTCCCTTTCTCCTCAATTCTTTCTCTCACATCATCTCTTTGATTCAAGCTGCTGACTGACTCGCTCTCTTAACTCAGCTGGAAACTGCAAATTGCAAAACCAGCATATCAAATGGACTGGGCTGCAAACAGCGGAGGAGGGAGGCGTTGGCGTCAACGAAGGTGACGAAGTGGAAGACTGCGTTTTGGGGGCAGGAGTGTTGGAGGATGAAGAGGCAGCGGATGTAAGGGTCTACGTTGACTGCTTGAGGACGGCAAATCACGTGGCCGTCGTCTGATTCGTCGGAGTCCACGCCATCATCGGGGAGGGTGGTGATTGAAGGGCAGTCTTGGGAGCTAAAGAACTGAGTTGCTTCTCTAACAGAGAAGAAGACTTTGGGGAGTACAAAGTGTGGGTGGAGAAAAGGAAGTAGATGGAAGGTGTAGGAAATGACTTTTTTGCCCTTTAAAGGTGGTCATACGGATAGCACATGACCAACTTAAGGGAAAAATGGATGGAAAATTAAAAAAGTTAACTGTAAGGTGCAAATTGACTAATAATGAGAGTTGAGAAGGGAAAATTGGACAAAATTAAAGTTGAGGGGGGAAATTGGCAAATCCTTACAAGTTCAGAGGGTAAATTGATGAATACCTCAAAAATGAAATATTCTGTAACGGTTAACTGACGGTATCACAAACTAAGTGAATGAACAACTAAATATGTAGTCAAATATAACTAAGCATCACAATATATACTATATTCCTACCCATACTAGAAACTAATATAATCGACTAGCAATCTAAACTTGACATCCCGTGGATTAAAGGAAGTAGGAGGTCAATAAAAAAAAATAAAAAAAAAAAGATGTTAATTAATTGAAGATTCAATTGATCACCACGTATGTATTGTAAATAGACAGTTAATAAATAATTAGATTGATTTTTTGATAAAAAATAATATGTGAAATCTTTGGTTATTTATTTATTTAATTTTTTTAAATTTTAATATCCTTATCCTGCATGTACAACGTCTGAATCAATATAGGACCCTTTTTTCTCTCTATCTTATATATAAAGCCAACAAGCCCAATGAATAGTGTTTTTTAGTGTCACAAGCTTCAACAAAAATAATTAGACAAAAATGTCCCTCAAATAAAAAAAATTCAAAAGCAACCCAAAATAATGCATCAAATGTGGTAGGGGTATTTTCGTCATTTTAATAATTAATTTTTTTGGATATTTTTTTTAATTAGTACTTTACAATAGGCTAATAATAATATGATTTAATTAGCTATTCATTAAATATTATTTTCTCTATTTTCAAACAAGTTCAAAACATCTTAAGAGGCGTGTAATGTCGGTTATAAAAATGGTCTTTCACAGACGGATAATAATGTGATTAAAATAGTTGTCAAATGATTTTTTTTTAACAAAGAATAGAGAGGGTGGGCTTAGCCTCACAATGGGTTAACAATAACGTGATTCAATCAGTTGTTTATTACATATTATTTTCTTTATTCTTAATGTAAATTCTATAAAAACCGATTTTCTTATAACTGCTTTAATTAGTTTATGAGGAGTTTCTGCTAGCATGATATAAGATTATTCATTTACTTCAAATATATAACTTTTCTTTTATCAATTTTCATATATAAATACATTTAAAATGTGTAATTTACGCATAGCACACTGCAATTCAAAAAATCACATGCATACATAAAGACTAGTATGTATAAATGCATCTATATAAATCAATATTATTACATTTCAATTTCATTCCCGCTACCTCCCAATAAAAACTCCAAATTGTACCTCAAATTAACGGAAACCCAAAAACAAAGTTCGGGTAGTGCGAACGGCTATTATGTTTAAGGAAATGAATTTTGTGTGGGAGTCAAACATTGTACGGACAATTTGGTAGACAGTACATGCTGTTCTGTAATTCACTGTTATGTCAGATGGTATGGTCTTCGATTCTCCATGTCTTTGAGAAAGATTTTTCAACGTGATTGGAATATAAGATGATGTATCATTATATAAATAATGAGATACGTAGATTAAAAAGTTAATAATTTAAAAAATAAAAAATTCTTACCGTTTATATAAAAATATATGATGTAATATTCTGGTGCCAATTACAATAAAAAACTTCATAACTTCATTCATTAATGCATGATGACATAGAAAAATTATAACTGTACTCAAAATAAATTTGGATATATTTCTCTAAAGAGATGTGATATCTACACATCCCATTTTACTTTTCACATATTTTTTTAATTTTCGATCGTCGGATCGGATGAATTGAAGAAGATAAACAGATAAAAATTATCAAAGGGTATATGAAAAGTAAAATAAAATGTGTGAATGGTCAACTCCTTCTCCAAATAGGTCGACAGGACAATTAGGTGCACTGAACTTGGGTCACAACCAGGAACCCTAGAAAGTTAAAAATGTTCCTCACAGCTCCACATCTATCTTTTTATCTTGGAATTATAGGGAGGCAGATTCTTTGCCCTCTCGCTTCCGATGCCGCCTTCCTGTTTGTGTGGTCACAGTTAAGCCACGTTAACATTTTATATTACTATTTATATATATATATATAATATTGACGTGACTTAACCGTGACCACACAAAACAATAGGGCACAGGAGGACACGGAAAGTGGGAGGGGAAAGATTCTGCCTCCGAATTATAGCAGCTGTAACTAGATTTTTATGAGCGGTGCTATTTTACTGCTTTTAATTTTTAGTCGTTGAATCAAATAGATAATAAATGTGTGAATAGTACCACTTATTTTTACTTTGTAATGGGTAAAATCCTTGCAGTATTTATATTTTATTTATAAGTTTACCATCTACAGGAATTGAAAGCTTTTTAAACTAGCTAGCTTTAGAAAGATTTTTCAGTTGATAAAAGACAATATCATTATACCAGGGTGGTTAGACCTCAAGACAAACATAAATGTTTTTAATCACTTGAATCGTAAGTTTTTCGCATCTAATTTTTGAACATTATCCTATAAATATTGCCACTTTTATTAACCTTGAATACTTTAAACATGACCTACTTGTTTTAGTTGGTTTGTCATAGCACTGAGCTTATAAATTTTGAATCAAAATAGTCACGTAACATGGTTAACCAGGCTATCGAAGATGCTCTAGTGACGTGGACT